TGTGCATGAGATCAGAAGTTCAAGCAAGATTAGAAATTAAGTAACGTGGACTAGGTAGGCTTAATTAGGAGCTCACGGGATTACACCTAATCAAGGAGTACAAGGTGATATGGGATGGACATCATTTGAGGGCAGGGAAGCTAGCAGCAAGATAAAATTTGAAAAGCGATTGAGAGAAATGGGGGAGGAGGGTTGGGCTAGGAAGGTTTTCAGCGACTTGTACATGAAGAATGTCGATACAAAATGGAGGGAGCGAACCAGAAAAGTGATGGGTAAATAGACAACAGCAGGGGGCCAAACTAAAAGGAATATCGGTTAAGAAGGTGAAGAAAACGAAGACTGACATGTGAAGAATGGGCATGATTAAGAAGTCTGCACTAGAGATCTATCGAACTTTTAAGCAGGAAATCCCCGAGAAAGGATCTATGATAATAGTCGGGGTAGTTCTCTACTGTTTGGGCCAGGACGGGAGTATTGCGAACCAAGACATATCGGGCCAAATACGAAGGAGTAGACACGGTATGCAGTGCGTGTGGAGATGAAGAGGAAACTGCTCAGCACTTGATAATGTTCCGTAAAGGGCTTCACCCTATTCACCTTTTCATAAACGCCTCCCTGGGCGCCGCCGTAGCCCTGCTTGGGCTGTGCAAATTGGCGCGTCCCCTCGAAAATGCACTGGAACGCTGCGCCCTTAGCCTTTGTTATGCCTTCTAGCCACCATAGCCTTTGTACTCTCGCGCACAGCCCATCATGGCGGTGTTTTTTTCCTTCCTGTGAAAAGGTGTATAGTTCAGAATGATGGCGCAGAGTTTTTCAAAGCCCTGACGTTTACGGACAGGGAGGGCAAAATAGACTTTCAGCGGGTAGAATTAACAAGAAGGAGGTTATCTGATTGGTGGCTAAAGTCAAGGCACGAGTGAAAATGAAACCTTTCATTGCAAAGTACCAGTCCTATACTTCACTATTTAAAGGGGAAAAAAGGACAAACCTAGTTGTTGGTTCACTAAATATTACGGCTAGATGACGATAGCTGCCGCCCGATCTAAAGAGTACAGCCATATCCATCCATCCATCCATCCATCCATCCATCCATCCATCCATCCATCCATTCATCCATCCATCCATCCACCCATCCATCCATCCATCCATCCATCCATCCATCCATCCATCCATCCATCCATCCATCCATCCATCCATTCATCCATCCATCCATCTATTCATCCATCCATTCATTCACTCATCCATTCGTCCATCCATCCATCTATTCATCCCTCTAACCATCCATCCATCCATCCATCCATCCATCCATCCACTGAAATCTAGCGTCTCCATTAGGAGCGTGTGCGCGAAAACGTGTATTGCTCGTTTTTAGCGCGTTTAACGCGTTTCTGAGCCTTCACAAGTGTATGCACACCTGCTACGCGCCATTATGGTGGTTAGAAGGGGCAGTGTGACGGGCAGGGGCCAGATGGTGCACATACGTTCAATGAAACATGGCGGCACGTCTAGGTGGCGCTGCGCGCGTCGGGAGCGCGTGCAGCGCTGTTGGTAGAGCGTGGCTGAGGGCCAAGTATGTATATATATATATATATATATATATATATATATATATATATATATATATATATATATATATATATATATATATATATATATATATATATATATATATATATATATATATATCTGTGTGTGTTTGTGTTTCTTTTCATATTTGTTCGTTATGCGGCATGTATTTGTTGCACGCTAAAGTTCCCATGTATGCTGCAAATGAGCAATTTTATTGAGTTGCCAGTCTGCGCGAGAAATGCGATACATACGGCGAATGGGTAGTTGGCAGTCGCCCGTGTTATGTAAATTTGTGTTAGACGTTCGTCCTGGATACGACGTGCTCCTCAAATTATTTTATTCTTGTTGCTCCCTAGTTACGCCCTGCACTCAATAAAATAAAAAACAAGCTCCGGTTCGCGCGGAAACTATACTAACTGCGCAGCTGCAACTTGAACGTTTTGAAGAGGGGCGTTGCATTCCCTTAACATTTACAACTTGTGCGTGTCACAAGGCTACAACACTCTGGTCATTCTACTACCACTAAGTATATTGAGCAAGTGTTTCTGGAAATGTAAAAAATTTGTACGGTGCACCCAGCTGGTTCTTCGGAAACATTTTATTTTTGGCATGCTAATGCATCAGTTCCAACACAGTGCGAAAAAATTCACTAAAACAAATCAATCAGCACCGCAGAGAATTCCAAGTGAAAGTACCCACAAAATTTACTGGCACCTTCGCAACTTGAGGTGTTTCTGTTTTTGCCACTGGACAGATCGGTCTTTATTGAGCGACTTAGTATAAAAGTGCAGGCACGTGAGCGCAAAAAACTGCACAATTTTTGCAGTTAGTTCTTTGCCATGATTGGAACAGCCAACTTTATGAAGCTTAATGGTACTCAGAAATGACATGAAATCATGAATACTGAATGCCTGCAGCTTCTCGGTAGAGAAAAAAAGTAAATGCTTTTTCTAATGTTGCCACAAGGATGGCCAAGTCATCCTCAGGATATAACAAACCCCCTCGATCAAAATGTTTGGTGAATTCATTGTCTGCATTTTCTGCTACATCCTGTTTTTTCATGGCTAGCTTTGATGATCATGTGCCACAAGAATTTTTTGTCCTGCAATTTCTAGCTACATAACCAGACAGGTAATAAACTAAACGGCTATCACTTTTCTCTACCACATAGCTGCTGTGGTCGCTTCTAAAAGCAGACTGAATGGCATCGCTAGCACCATCTATATCTCCAGCCTCGAGCATGTCCTCAATATTCTCTCTTAGTCCAAAAACGGCACTGTTACTTGCACCTGCTGAAGACGTCGTGTCTAGTAGAGTGTTCACAACCTGTGCCGGGGAGTTTCCAGACTTTGGTGGTCGCACAAGATTGTGGAAACTGAGACAATTTACAGTTATAAGAAACTGCCCCGGGCTTGGGTGGTCATTTGTACCTGAATACTGTCTTATTATACCGAACAGCTTAAATTGAGGACGACGCAGCGAGCAATGGAAAGAAAAATGGTAGGTGTAACCTTAAGAGACAAGAAGAGAGCAGAGTTGATTAGGGGACAAACGGGGGTTAAGGATATCATAGTTGAAATAAAGAAGAGGAAATGGACATTGGCCGGGCATGTAGCGCGTAGACAGGATAACCGCTGGTCATTAAGGGTAACTAACTGGATTCTCAGAGAAGGGAAGCGGGTTAGGGGGAGACAGAAGGTTAGGTGGGCAGACGAGATTAAGAAGTTTGCGGGTATAAATTGGCAGCAGCAAGCACAGGACCGGGTTAACTGGCGGAACATGGGAGAGGCCTTTGTCCTGCAGTGGACGTAGTCAGGCTGATGATGATGATACCGAACAAGTTTTCCAACTTGTCTTGACTTAATCTTGATGTCAGCAAGTATTTAAACGCCACTGCCGACGTTAAATACTGCATAAGTGAGAGTGCATTGCGTACTGTAACTCTAATACCCTCAGCAGTACCTTTGCTCATGAAGCCACCTCCACATTTTTCGGAAGCTTCTTCCCATGCGTCTAAGAAGACAAGAAAAGCCTCAAGCTCAGCAACATCTTGTGATGACGGTCTAAGTCCTCGCTTTGGACACCTTCACGTCATGATCGATATTAGCCGACTGAGGCGTCTCACATCTCACATAACGCTGTAGACAAGTTCGGCTTGGCAGGACAAGAATTTTCTGCTTCCGAAGGTGCTCATAGAGCTTCGGACTCCTCATGCGAAGCAACACACACTCTGGGATTCAATTCTTCTCATACAGCATGCCCCATGTCGATTTTCTTTTAGCTGCACTGAAGCATGCCATAATTGCCATCTGTTGTTTCTGAGGCAACTTTTTAATGCGTTCATTCAGTGCCTCATCTCAAATTAGCTCATTGGCAGACTTCATCATGTCGAGCTCTCTCTGCACGTTCCGCAGTTTTCATTGAGCAGCTACCTGGCGGTGGCGAGTGTTGGCGTGTTGGCGTGATGTACAGCTTCAGTGAACTCCGATTCAGCAGCATGTTGTGCTTCTATTGCTTGTTCACTTTCTTCCGGCGCCTGCTGCTTTACAGTAGTCTTTCTTTTTTTAGTCGGGGGCTCACCAAGTTCACACAGGTTTCTCTCCTTCCTTCTAGTCGGCGTTTTCTTTGTGAGGTATTTTGGCGCATCCGGGGAGATTGTAGGAACGGCGTCCTCTGTTAGCAGCGGCCGATCGCGTGGAATTTCAACCACCTCATCATTGATAACATGACGATAAGTCCTCTGTATAAACGTTGCCTCGAAGTGACGTTCGCAAACGACGCAGTCGTTGCTTAGTTCCTTATCGCCCCGTTTTATATTACGGGCCCGCTGCTCTCGTTTCAATGCATCCTTGGAAGCTCGAAACGACGACACCCTTGCCGGACACGACTTGTACCCACTTTTACAACCAGGTACAAAACACGTGCCTGCTTTCGCTGGCATGGTAATAGTGTGTCGCTATCCGCAATCATTCACATGGTGCGCGTCCAGGAGTCAAACAAAAACAGTTTCACGTGCGGAAGTTTGCTCCCACGCCACGTGTGCCAAACACACGTGGCTGTAGCAGCTGAAGCAGTGGCTGTAGCGGCGAAGATCTCGCGCGCTCCCGACGACCGCCGCGCCCCTAGCGGCGTAAAAAATGTCATCGCGTTTTGTGCGCCTCTCTCCCATGACGTGCATATGGCGACCGTCACACTATAGTGTACCCCCTTCTAGCCACCATTCTAGCCACCATAGCGCCATGGTGAGCGAATTTGTGTCGCTAAGGTGGCTAGAAGGAGACGCTGCCTTTGTGTTATAAAAGTGAACTATAAAACTATTTTACTCAGCACAAACATATTACTTTAAAAAAAACGCTCTCGACAAAAATTCAGAAAGAAATAGAAAATTTTTACTTCAAAGAGAGAAAAAGTGGCTTCGCAAGTTGGCAACACTGCAGTAATTAGCTGCAGACTCAGAGCGGTAGGTGTTCTGTAGAGCGGTCGTGTCGAAAGGAGTTTGAGAAGTTTCGCCATTTAGCAGTTGTAATTTGTCTTCAGGATCCTAATCAAGATGCCGCGGATTATGATCAAAGGAGGTGTATGGCGCAATACCGAAGTAAGTGCTGAACTCGGCAAGCGGTCAAGTTTTTCTGCGGCCAACCCTGCCGATGATGGTGATGTCCCACCCGTGTATGCGACTCTCAGCTTCGTTCGCGCGCAGCTTTGTTCGCGCGTAAGGAGTGCTGCGCCTAAGTGAGCAACGCTTCGTTCTTCTAATCATTCTATCATCAGCCTCCTGCGATCTGGCAAAGCAAATGACAAACGTTTGCAATCGAAGGTGGCGTGAAGGGCTGGCACTAGCAAAACTGAAGTGGTGACAATGCCGTCACAGTTCGTAACATAGTTGATAGGCGGGCTAGTTGGTGTAGGTTCAACTAAATAGCACAAAGTGAGGATAAGCCCCGCCAAAATAGGAGGCGGTGATGTCAGTCGTTTTACTAACTGTCGAATGAATGTGGTTTATCCCTTTCCAGCCCCCCCCCCCTCCCCCCAAAAAATATAAACGATGAAATGCAAATTTGCTCAACAATTAATACTGCTTGCTCTATTCTAATACACTTTCCAAAAGTAAAACCGGGAAAATCAGAGTATGCGGCTCATAAAACGGACCCGCACATATCTGGGGGCTGGGCCTTTGTTGCTGGGATCAACTGCAGCGAGGAGCGCACTTAGAACGGCTAATAAAAATATATCTTCAGCCCTACGTATGGAATATTTCACAGGGTTGTTTGTCACTTCAGAGGTGAACTGTCCCACTTGCACTTTCCACGTCCTCGTACTTTAAGTGCGACCTGGTAGCCTGCTGCGATGTGAAGAGCTGTACATTGATGGCCAGTGGTCACGTGAGCAAGCCCTTTGCACCCCAAGAGACTTCTCCGTGGATTGATCTCTTAGTTGTTTTACACTTTGTGATGTACAGGATTTCTCAGCGATCTGATGCAGGGTCATACCTAAACCCTCCTTATCCTTTGAGGAGTTCCTTGCAATCTTTTTTTTTGTTTTGTTTTCATATCCAGAACTGAGGCACATATTTGTTTTGAAAGCATCGATTTCCGAAATCGTAGCGATAAATTAGTCTGTGAAATACGCTAGATCATTCTCTGAATCAAAACAAACATTGTCTCCATCAGTGGCTTCAGGCAGGCAAAGCTCTGAAGCTAAAGGTTTCTTTTAAATGGCAGGAAATGGCAAGTGGCCTGCTGACCAAGTTTGCTTGGAGGCAGACTGCTCAACAACTCCCCCTATTCATTGCAGTGTTTATCAGTCAGTGGGCTCAAATTACGAATTTGAATCTTTGTCGATTTGTCTTCGTTGTGGTTATATATATATATATATATATATATATATATATATATATATATATATATATATATATATATATATATATATATATATATATATATATATATATTGTAACCATGTTGAAGAACTCGGGAGTCTAATAAAACGTATTTATTAAAGGGCAAACCTGTGTCCACAAATGAAAGGGACTATGGTCGTAGAACGTTGCAGCCGAACACCAAAGATGTCCACCTTCTTCTTCCTCTCCAAGAGCAGTCTTGAGCGCGTGGCGCACATCCGCCGGGTCCAGCTAGGTGCTCGTGCTATCATCGTTTCTGCGCAACACTGGACGGCGCACATGTAAGTCCCTGTGCGCGCGGTGATAGGCGCGTTGTTTGAATGCAGGCAAGAGTTCGTGGCATATTCCCCCTCCTCGTACGCATCGTCCCGATACGTCATGCAATAAATAGATTCGTGGTAGGCGTCACTGGTTTTCTGATGATCTTTCATAGTAAGGCTTCATCCGGACTACATGTACAACCTCTGTAGGGTTGCGGCGTTTTGAGCTCCCGTGTATAGCGGATCTGACTTGGTACTTTACATCGCTTACATGATGAAGTACTTCGTAAAGCCCGAACTATCGGCTAAGAAGTTTTTCAGAAAGTCCGTGGTGATGCACTGGGGTTCATATCTATACTTTGTCACCTGGTTGAAAATGCGCTTCGGTACGACACTGATTGTACCGGTAGCAGTCTATACGCTGTTGCCGGCGTATTCTGTATCTCGCCACCTGTCGTGCTTCCTCGGCTCTTTGCAAGAAGTCGTCTAGGTTGGGTGGATTGCTGCTTCCATCATTCAGTGGTAACATGGCATCCAGTGGAGTGGTGACTGTTCGGCCGAATACAAGTTCAAATAGTGTCACTCGTGTTGTTTCTTGAATGACTGTATTATATGCGAATGTGATGTAGGGCAATATTTCATCCCACAGTTTATGTTTGACGTCGACATACATTGAAAGCATGTCAGTCAGAGTTCTGTTCAGGCACTCTGTTAAGCCATTTGTTTGAGGATGGTATGCTGTAGTTCTTCTCTGGTCTGTATGGGCCATTTGCATCAGGCATTTCATTAGGTCTGCAGTAAAAGTTGTGCCACGATCCGTAATTACGAAGCTGGGTGCACCATGTCTGAGGACTATGTTGTTGATGAAGAACTTGGCAACTTCAAGAGCTGTTGCACTGTACAGCGAGTCAGTCTCAGCGTAACGAGTGAGATAGTTCGTGGCTTTGACTATCCACTTCTTTTCGTGCAGTCGATGTCGGAAACGGGGCTAGGAGATCCATACCCACTTGTTGGAATGGGGCATCCGGCCGTTCTATTGGCTGGAGGAGGCCTGCAAGTTTCACGGATAGAGTTTTGCGTCTTTGACACTCACAGAAAGATTTCACATAGTGCTGAACTGATGCGGACAGTTTTTGCTAGTAGTATTTTAGATGAATTCTGGCGAATGTACGGCTGACACCAATATGTCCAGATGTTGACTCATCACGACATGCATGCAGAATCTCGTTTCGTAAATGTGCAGGTACGAGTAAAAACTTGTCACCATGAGGCTCGAAGTTGCTCTTGTAAAGGACCCCATCTCGAAGACAGAACGAAGGGAGCCCTCTGTATAAAGTGCATGGGACTTTAACGTTGAGTCTTTGGAGATGCTGTATAAGCGGCAGCAAATCAAGGTTATTTTATTGTTGTTGAGCGATTTCTGATGCCTGGATGACGCCTAGAAACGGGAAGTCGTCTTCCTCCGGCTCACTTGTCTCCACTGGGGCGCGTGACAGGCAGTTGGCGTCGCTGTGCTTTTTCCCAGATTTGTGTACCACAATTATATCGTACTCTTGTAGCCTAAAGTGCCAACCACTGGCACGCGTATGAACGCGCCTACGCGTCAAAAGCGTCTAGTCGCGCCTGTGGAGGAAAAGGGCGCGCAACCACTGGCACGCGTCAACCGCGTTGACACCCACGCGTCCAAGGCCGATGCACAATGTTGCTTGACCTTTTGGCTTAGAACTGTCCAAGTTCAGCACAGAACGGCACTTTCCTAACTGGAGCGGGCTTATATGTTTCAGAGGATATGAGAACACGTTATAAAATTGATAGTGCTTCACCCACCACAGTTTAGACTATTTTAGAAGTAATTGACATTCCAGTGCCCAAAGTAACTACTGCGGTATGCACCAAAAATCAACATCGGTGCATGCGCCGCTCCCGCGAATGAACATTCGCGTCTAGCATACGGTACGTCTATCATAGGCGTGTGCAGAGTTCTCCTTAAGGAGGGGGGGGGGGGGGGGGGCAAAAGTTTGTTGCAGTACCCACCTCCTTGTAGGGGCTGACTTAGCGCCCCCTACCTATTATGTTAATATATGGAGTTGACAGTGAGCTCCCCCCCCCCCCCTCCTTTCTTCGGTGAATGAGGCGGCGGCTGCCCTCCTGATCAGGTTTACAAACCACTGGGTTTCTATACCTGCACTACCAAATTTATTAACAATATCTTGAATATGCTGGTACCTTCAGTATATTTACACATCATATTTTATAGCACTCAACTTGATAATCACGCCTGAAACTTCATGATCTGACAGATTTAAGTCAGTCAAAAGACTACAATATAGGCGAGAGTAGCAGGCTTTCGGTTGATGTGTATGTTCGAAATATCGTATAATGCAACAAAGCACACCTGGTGCTTATTGATACAACAGATATTGGTCATAAGATAGGAACCAAATACTGCGTAGAATGCCTTCGGGCATTATCCATAGTTGAAATGTGCCCTAATGCAACTAACTGTGCCTGGCACTTCATGATGGGACAGATATTGGTCATAATATTGCAACTGAACCTTGCATGGAATACCTCTGGGCGTTGTCTTTACTCAAAGTATTCTCTAAAACGACAGACGACACCCAACTGTTCATGAAGTGACAGATATCGGTCATAATATTAGAACTGAAACCTTAATGCAAGACTTCTGGACGTTGTCTTTAGTCAAAGTATTTTCTAAAACGACAGACGACACCCAACTATTCATGAAGTGACAGATATCGGTCATAATATTAGAACTGAAACCTTAATGCAAGACTTCTGGACGTTGTCTTTAGTCAAAGTATTCTCTAAAACGCTACACGACACCCAACTGTTCATGAAGTCACAGATATCGGTCACAATATTAGAACTGAAACCTTAATGCAAGACTTCTGGACGTTGTCTTTAGTCAAAGTATTCTCTAAAACGACAGACGACACCCAACTGTTCATGAAGTCACAGATATCGGTCATAATATTGGAACTGAACCCGGTATGGAATACCTCTGGACGTTGTCTTTACTCAAAGTATTCTCTAAAACGACAGACAACACCCAACTGTTCATGAAGTGACAGATATCGGTCATAATATTAGAACTGAAACCTTAATGCAAGACTTCTGGACGTTGTCTTTAGTCAAAGTATTCTCTAAAACGCTAGACGACACCCAACTGTTCATGAAGTCACAGATATCGGTCACAATATTAGAACTGAAACCTTAATGCAAGACTTCTGGACGTTGTCTTTACTCATAGTATTCTCTGAAACAACAGACGACACCCAACTGTTCATGAAGTCACAGATATCGGTCATAATATTAGAACTGAAACCTTAATGGAAGACTTCTGGACGTTGGCTTTAGTCAAAGTATTCTCTAAAACAACAGACGACACCCAACTGTTTATGAAGTCAAAGA